CACCACCATCACCATCATCACCATCACATCACCACCATCACCACCATCACCACCATCACCATCATTACCACCACCATCATCACCACCATCACCACCACCATCACCATCACCACCATCACCACCATCACCACCATCACCACCACATCATCACCACCATCATCACCATCATCACCACCACCATCACCACCACCATCACCACCACCATCACCACCACCATCACCATCATCACCACCACCATCACCACCACCATCATCACCACCATCATCACTACCATCATCACCACCACCACCATCACCACCATCATCACCACCATCATCGTCACAACCATCACCTCATCATTACCACCACCACCATCACCACCACCACCATCACCACCACCATCACCACCATCACTACCACCACCACCACCATCACCACCACCACCACCATCACCATCATCACCACCACCACCACCATCACCACCACCATCACCATCACCACCATCACCACCATCATCATCACCACCATCACCTCATCATCACCACCATCACCACTACCACACCATCAACACCATCGCCACCACACTGTGTCCGTGCAGGCTAACCATCCAGGCATCGTGTGGAGGCCTCTGCACACATCAACTAATTTGAACCTCACAATCGTATAACTACCCTCGTTCAACCAATGGGGAAACTGAGGCACAGGGCAGTAAGGCCACTTGCTGAAGATTTCCCAGCAAAGACATCACTGAGGCAGGATATAAGGCAAGCAGTCTGGCTCTCAACCAGAGCCTGTGCTCTCCACCGCCCTTCCATACTGAGGCACAGAGAAGTGAAGTAACCTGCCCAAGCCACACAGCAGGAAGGGGTGGCGCTGGGATTCAGACACTGGGTGACACTGCGTCTCCTGACTTGAACACAGTCCTTCAGCAGAAGGACTGCAGGAGCTCAGGAGTCCCAGGGGCTGGGGGGGGCGGGGGGGGAGGCACAACAGAGCTAGGACGCAGGAAACCTGAAAGGAAGCCAGGAGGGAGGGTGTGTCGGGACTCTCAATCCTGGGAAACCCTCGGTGCCAGGGGTCCTCCAGGACCCTCAGGGAAAGACGTGGGGTCCCGATCCCGTGGGGGGGGTGCCGAGAGCACAGAGACGGAGAGAACAGGGCGCAGACATCTGCAGGTGCAGCAGGCGGGACTGACCGGGCGGTGCGCAGGGCGCCGACCCTGAGAGGCTCGGGGCGTGTCCGAGGCGGGGCAGGGGACTGGGGGCCTCCCACGGCCTTGAAGTCCGGGCCACTGTCTGCATGTACACCCTTCCATCTGTGTTGGCCGTACCACACCGGCAGCCGACAGCCGACGCAGACCGAGGCCCGGCCCCCAGTGTCCCTCTCAGTGTCCGGGGTCCCGCCACCCAGGGGAGAGGCCCTCCTCCAGTGTCCTGCGCCCCCGCCAGGAGGACAGAGATGGCCACCACGCAGATAGCAGCCCGAGCACCTCGCCAGCATCCTCCACTGACGCTCACACCCAGGAGGCCCACACCGCAGGTGGGAACACTGAGGCTGCCCCGCGAGGTGAAGTGAGCCCCCCAGTGTCACCCAGCAAGTTGGGAGGAACGGGGATTCCAAGCCACATCTGGGGGTTCTTCTAGGCTCCAAGCAGCCTGTGCCCAGAGCGCCCTGGGAGGGGCCACCCCGGGATGCAGGCCTGTCGGAGCGTGGGGGGAGCGTGCTGGGTCCCAGGAAGGTCAGGGTCACTGGGTCCAAGCCCCGCCTCCTCACCCCGCAGACCTGCCTCAGTGACTGCACAAGGAACCGGGACACCAGGCTCCTATGTGACCCTCAGACAGGGAACTGTGGCTTTCTGAGCCTCGACTCCCCGTTTCCTCCACCTCAATCCTCCTCAGACTCAGAGAAGGGGCACGTCTCAGAAACCACGCTGTCTGTGGGGGGCGAGCACGGGGCTGTCAGTGGCAGAGAGGCCTCCAGATTACAGACCCTGACGCTCGCCTCCCACCAGCCAGGGACAGAGGCTCCTGCCCTGGACGCACGCCCGGAGGGCAGGTCCCCCAGGAAGCTCCTGCTTTTCAAGTAACAAGCAGGGGCCCCAGCCGGGCCGCCCTCAACGAGGCAGGGTGCTCAGGGAGTGGGGCCCCACTGCTGCCACCACACAGGACAGGGATGCCCCACCCTGTAGCTGCCCAGAGTCCCCGCTCACCCCCGGCCTCAGCCTCCTGCCTGGAGGGGGTGGCAACCACCAGGTCCTCTCCAACCACATCCTGTGTCACCCAAGGCCCAGCGGGGGAATAGTGGGCGGTGTCTGGGGTCAGCCAGTGACCTCACGTGACCGGGAGAGGGCCCAGCTGGGGCAAAGGGCAGGCGGGACGGCAGGATGGGAGGGCTGTGGGAGCCGGAGGCCTCCCCGGGGCTGGGCCCGTGGAGAAGCGGTGGGAGGGGGTATGAGCCCAGGACCGGGGGGACGAGAGAAACCAGAGCGGCCCCCAGGGGCAGCAGCCCCCCAACAGCTGCAACACAGCGACAACGACGAGTAATAACAACAGCAAACGACGCAGCGGCTGAGCGCCAGGCTCTCCCACAAGGACGTCACAGTCGGCCCCCAGGATCCAGGAGACGGTGCTCTCATCAGCCCACTTCACGGGTGGAAACCCGAGGCTCAGGGAGGCCCAGCAACCGTCCCATTTCCTCACACGCAAAACGTGCCCGTCTGCAAAGCGGGGAGCACAGGGGACCCCCGGTGACCAGGGAGAGCTTGTGTGACTGCGTAACAGGCTCTGAACACACGCTCGCCCTGGAGCGAGCTCAGGGACTGGGAGCTCCGATTTCTGTCATCGCGGCAGTGACCGTGATAAAGATGGCAATGCCGAACAATGACCTGTCCCAGGGAGCACATTCTAGGCCCCAGGCACACAGCAGGCATCCACGGCCCGGTGGCTCAGGGTCCTGAAGCTGACGCAGACGCCTCCCCACGGGGACAGCCTCTGGCCTCAGTCCCTCGTCTGCAGAGTGGGACGATCCCGCGGGGCACTCGTCCGCTGGGCTGTTCATGAGAATTCGGCGACTCCGTCCAGGGGAAAGTCGTCGTCACGGGGTCCAGGAGGTGCCCGTGTGGCCCAGCGCTCTGCAGGCGTCCCGGGGCCCAGTCCTCAGGAGGCACCCATGTCTGGGACACCCCCAGCTGAGCCAGTGGGTTCGTCTGCAAACAGGTCCCGCTCGCTCACGGAAATGCCCGCCCACGCTTCTTCCTCTCGGTGCTCACGAGGAGAGACCACGGCAGCCAGTGGGACAGACGCACGAGCACACACACGTCACATAGCCAGCTCCTGCCCCGCTGTGACTGCCAGGCCTCACGCCCCCTTGCTGGGCAGCCAGGAGGTCAAACGGGGGTGGCCCAGGACGCTGAGAGCCATCCAGCAAGCACCGGAGGACACAGTATACAACACGTACGCAGTAAACGCCCACAGAGCCCACCCTCGCAACTACACCACACGGCTAGTGGCGAAGCCAGGAAATGGGGCCTCACTCGGGGGTGGGCGGGGGAGCAGCCCAGGAGAGCTGACCGGGGGCACACACGCTTGCAGGCTGGCACGCAGAGGGCACGTCTGCTCCCCCACGGGCAGGTCATCCCCTCCAGCAATGGTGGCTCCCGAGAGCAGAACCACCTGGAACCCAAATCAGGGATTTGGGGACATGATGTGGGCCAGGCCTCAACGCCTCAGACCCACGAGCATCGCCACGGTTACCGAGCTCCGGGGCTGAGGATAGGGGCCGGGAGGGACTGCGAGCAGTGCCCCCAGGAAGCCACCCCAATCCTAAAGCAAGCAGAGAGTCGAGGTGAGGCTGGGCTGAGAGGAGAGTGTACACAGCAGGCGCTCCATGTTTGCACACAAATTCCAAGGACGATCCCGAGAGGCCCCGCTCAGCCTGGCCCCTGTCTCCGTCTTCCCAGCTTTAAAACGAGAGCTAAGAGATTTCACCAGGTGCCCCAGGGCCCGGAAGGCCGCAGGTACCAGTGGTCTCTGCCGAGGCACCGCCTCTGCTCGAGGGACACAGCGAGCGACACCAGCCCTGGCTCGGAGAAAGAAAGGAATGGGGCGGGGGCTGGTTACAGAAGAAGGCCCCAAAGGTGACCCTGACGTACGCGTACCCCTTACCGTGTGAGGCCGGGCGATCTGCACGGGGTAGGAGATGCCATGGGGCGGGTAGCGGGGCTCGGTGGCCCTCCAGGTCTGCGCCACGGGCTGCGTGGATCCTGACATGGCGGTGGGCGTCCGGGGGGCTCCTGGGCTCCAATAACCTTCCTCTTGATGGCCACCAAGGTTAAAAGCCAGTCGTCGTCATCTGCTCGCGAGCCGCACTGTCACAGGTGCCTGTGAGAAAACAGAAAGGAAAGCAAGGTCAGCCACGAGCAGTGGCTCCTCGCAGAGCCTGGCGGCACGAGTCTTCCCTCGGCCCCGGTAAGGACGAGCCAGCACACAGGGGTCCACCCGGGCCCTCCTCACGTCATTGGCACGTCCCCACCCACTGACAGTGGGACATGTGACGCGCATCTGGTGACCCTCTGAGCCACAGGCCAGGCCAGAGGCTGCCACATACGTCACATTAGGAGAGCTGTGCCCTCCCCACCACCGAGGTCTCACGCAGCAGGCACAGGACCCCGACTCTGTGGGTGCCACCCCCAAAGGCTCCCCAGGCCCCTCGGCCCACCCAACTGCACCCCTGGAACCCAACTCTGTGGACAGTGCCCCTTCCATCCACAATGGCTCCCCAGCCCCCTCAGCCCACCCAACCTCACCCCTGGAACCCCAACTCTGAGGACACTGCCCCTTCCACGCACAATGGCTCCCCAGCCCCCTCGGCCCACCCAACCGCACCCCAAGGCTGCTGCGAGTTTCTGAGACAGGGGGCAAAGTTCTCTGAAAGCCCCTGGCAGCCCGGGTAGGCTGGTGCCAGGCCTGACCCAGGAGGCACGGCCGGGGGAGGGACACACGACTGTCCTGGTCAGTGGACAGGTTTCGCTCGGGCAGGGCACAGGTCACAGCATGACCTGGGGAAGGCCAGGCCTGCCTGGGCCTCCCAGTGACCCTCGGTAGGAGGGTGACACCGTGATATGGGAGCAGGACAGAAGTGACGCTGGCCCGGACGTGAGCTGGGAGAGGAGGTACTGGGGCACCGAGGGCCACGCTGGGGAAACAGCCAAGGACACGGACAAGAGCCAGCTGGACCCCAAGTGGCTCCGGGGGGCAGGCACGCAGTGCCTTCCACGGGAGAGAGACCACCCGCATCCACGCTGAGAAGACCGAGAACTGGTCCACCGGCTTTCCAGATGGGGAAACTGAGGCCCAGAAAGACGAAAAGACTTAAGTCAAGCAGCAAAGGAGCCCTCGTGGGAAGCTGCCAGTGCCCAGCCGTTCCCGGGGGCCTCCACTCTCCCCAGGACCCCTCCATGCCTCCTCGGGCCACAACTGGCCCCTCTGCCCGTGGCTGGGCTGCAGCCCCGTGATCAGAGGAACAGACCGCACCCCGGCCCCCTCTAATTTCACCGTGATGCCCCTCGTCACCTGCCCTCCCCCACAACTGTCCCTACCAAAGGGGTGGACGACTTGGACCCTCCCCTGCGGGTCTGCCCGTGGGAGGCCTGAGGAGGAGGGATGTTGGAAGCGGAGACTGAGATCAAGGTGGTCAGAGGAGGAATGAGACCCTGCTGGGGGGCCTGGTGCACCCCACTCCCCACCTCCATCTTCTGCTCTGTAGACATGACTTTCCTTTCAGGAACCATCCTCCTTCCCCAGGCTCCAGGAATGGTCATGTGACCCAGGCCTGGCCAATCAGATTCCTGCTTCCCCTGGGCCAGTAATTGGCTCAGGGATAGGCATGTGACCCAGTCCAAGCCAATGAGAGTCAGTCCTGAGACTCTTGCTGGAGGAGCCGTCCCTGTGCCCTCTGCTGGGGCTCTGGGCTGGGAGGGTGAAGCCTGGAGCCCTGGGGGCCACCGCATGGCAGGAGCCTGCGGAGGACGATGCCAATTGGCAGGAAGGCAGAGCTGAAGGGTGGAGAGAGCGCAGCCGGCTCCTGATGACAGCTGTGCCTGAAGGCAGATTAAAGCCCGCAAGTTGACTTAGGGGAGCTGAGGCACTCCTTCTGTGCATTTTGCCTTCACCAGCCCAACCTGGGTTTCTGTCACTTGCCACCAAAAGCTCTGCCTCACCAGGGAAGGGAGGCGTCATGGGGGGGTGGGGGGCAGTCCTTCACCCGGGTGCTGGCAATCGTTCCTACACTAAACAGGCAGAGAATTCCAGAGCCAAGGCTGACGCACCTGTGGCCACCCCAGGAAGGGGCCCATGGCAGGACGCACCATGTAATCCCCACGAACACGGGCACAAGCCCTGCTCCGCCCACAGGAGCCACCACCATCACCATCACCACAGCGCCGCAGCCAGTCACGGCGGTGCGCCAACGGGGAGGGAGGGAGCCTGCCCTGCCAGCTCTCAAGGGCAACCTGCCCTGCAGCCCAGAGACAAGAACCTGGCCTGGGGAGAGGGGCAGGTGCGCCACCCGTGCTGGACCCTGCTCCAGAAGTCCCTGGCTCCAACCAGCTCATCTCAGAGCCCGGCAGACCCTGGCCTTCCAATGCAGCAAAGCAAATTCCATCTGCTCTCTCGCTGGGTTAAACAGCTGCCCATTCCCTCCGAGGAGATGAGACCAGGACAAGGCAGGGAGAGGTCAGCCTCTCCGGCAGCAACAAAGGCAACTTCCGGACTGCTATTTGATTTTGCGTTGCATACGGTGGCGAGAAGTCTAGTTTACCCACAGCTCTTCTAACCTCCTTTGCCTAACGAAATGCTGACTGAGGATGGCAGGCCCCTGCCGGATGCTCACAGCGTGCACTGCACATGGGCTCCAAAAGCCGGGGAGGCAAGAGCTTCTCAAACCACCCTGGGACAATCCTCGGTCACCTCCCCGCCCTCCTCGTGCCGAGGCCCAGGCCTGGCTGCCCTCCCTCCCTCAAGACTCACAGGGTGTCACGGCCAAGCTTGGGGGCTGCAACCCGGCTGCCCCCACCCCGCCCTACCCCATCAAGGGGTCCCCCCACGGCCCAGCGTCCTCTCGCACAGGGGGACCCCACGCCTCCCTCATTCACCACAAGCTTGTTATTCAACGCATTCTCCACCCCGCCCAACCTCAGCCACATCCGTTGCCAACTCAAAAAGAAGTTTTTAGGAAAACAGCCTGGCAGCTCCTCAAAAAGTTAAACACAGAATTACCACACGACCCAGCAATCCCCCTCCTAGGCACATACCCAGAAGGACCCAAAGCGGGGACCCGAACACGCACACGCGTGCTCCGGCAGCAGCCTTCACCACGGCCGGAGGGTGGAAACGACCGAGCGTCCGTCGCGGATGAACCTCCGTGGTCCGCGGGACAGTGGCACACACGTCAGCCACGCAAAGGAGAAAGCACTGACCCCTGCCACGGCCTGGGCGACCCTCACCGCCACGAGGCTGAGGACGAGGAGCCCACTCAGAAGCCACACAGCATACGAGTCCACTGACGTGGAGCGTCCAGAACAGGCCAATCCACAGGGACAGGGAGCAGACGGGTGGCGGCCGGGGGCTGGCAGGGACGGGGAGTGCCTGCTGCTGGGTGTGGGGTTTTACACGCAACGATGGGAACGTTCTCAAACTGGACAAAGGAAGTGTTTGCAGAGCATCGTGAGTGACGAAAAGTGCAAGCTGTGACTTCATCAGCACGGTCTAGAGGGAGTGCCAAGAAGAAGTGACATTACTTCATCAAAGACGGGGGTAGGAGAGGGAAAGAGAGACCCCAGGGCCACGGAAGGGTCTCCCGGATCTGGCCTTGGCTGGAAGGGTTTCTGAGAGCAGACCCAGACTACTGTAGGAACGCAACACCACGGCCCCCACAGCATTGCAGGGTCGAGCTTTGGGGTCAGGACAGAGTGGTGGGCATCCACATATTTACAGACATTTCGGGTCCTCCCTGCGAGCTGGGCCCCCAGCCAGGTAATGAGGCGGGGTCCAGGCCGCGGAGGGTGTCTACCAGAACAGAGGAGAGCTGGTCAGGGGACAGGGAGGGACAGTGCTCCAGGCGGAGGCCACCGGAGCGGGAGCCCAGAGGTGAGACCGGGCGCTGTCCATTTGAGAAGCTCACTGAGTGCATACGAGGCGGGCAGGGCACGCTGTCACTCAAGGCCTCTGGGCCATGGAGGGATGGCTTTCGTTCTAAGGGCCATAAGGAGCCACAGAGGGCAGTGGAGGAGGAGAGTAAAGAGTCATGGCACTTGACAAGCAGGCACTGGAGCAAGAGTGGGACTGGGAGAGTGAGGAGCTACTACACCCGTCCCAGCGAGAGACGGCGCCAGCAGAAGTGGGGCAGCAGGGACGGAGAAGGAGAAGCCTGCAGATGGCGTGGAAGTCGGGAGGGAGACGCCGCAGGCCGGAGAGAGCTCGCTGTGGGACGAGCGAGGCCAAGCGGGCCCCAGGGTTGGGGGTCCTCCGCTCCCCTCCTCTAGCCAGACACCTCAGAGCCCCAAGCCTCTGTCTCCTGGGCTGCAGACGGGAAGGAGGGCCCCTGCTCCAGGCTGACGTGAGGACGGCGCGCTGGTGGGGCGCAGCCACGGGGCAGGTAAACGGCAGGTGCCACCAGGAGGTGACGGACTTGCTCAGCCGGTGGCCTGGGACACTTCTGAGCCTCAGCTGGGGACACCGAGGCCCAACCAGACCTTGCACAACCAAACCACAAACCACAACACGAGGGCCACTGAGCCAGCTGGGGGAGGGCAGCCAACTCCAGCCGGGCCCACAGCAGGGGCCCCGGCACAGTGCAGAACGGGGCTCCCCAGGACAGCTCCCCACACCCCACCGTGCTCCAGCCCAGCCCCGCCCTGCCAGCCTGAGGCACACATGGCAGGCGCCACAGGCTGCCCACAGGAGAGCCACAGGCTGTGGGGCCCGTCTGGCGGCACCTCCAGTCCTGCTCACCCATGGTCCCTTGTACCCACCCACAAGACGGCTCTGGTGAGGCTCCCACACCCCCAGAGAAAGCGCCTGGCCACGGCTCTGTGTCCGCCTTGCTCCCTGCTCGCCCCTGGGGCCTGTCACCTCGGGACACACAGCAGGTGCTCCGTGAATGACCCTGTCCAGCAGAGGCAAGTGCCAGGACCACGAGGTGAGGCCAGAGCCCACCGTACCTGCATCTGTCCCCACCTCGCTGGGCGGAGGCCTCCTTCCTGGGGGCTGGGAGGGCTGGAAGGTTCCACGGGGCCTCCTGCCCCCACATTCCTCTCTGGCCCCAGGCAGGACGGCTGAGGCCACACGGCGACATGTTCCGTAGCTTTTCGGTGTGTGAGCAG